AAAAAAAAAATCAGGTGTTCAAAGATGTGTAGATTGATATCCAGGTCTTCTATTCGGTTCCATTGGTCCTCCTGTCTGTTCTTATGCCAATACCAGGCTATTTTCAGTACTGTAGCTCTGTAGTAGAGTTTGAAGTCAGGGATTGTGATGCCTCCAGAAGTTCTTTTATTGTACAGGATTGTTTGGCTATTCTGGTTTTTTTGCTTTTCCATATGAAGTTGAATACCGTTCTTTTGAGGTCTTTGAAGAATTTTGCTGGGATTTTGATGGGCATTGCATTGAATCTGTAGATTGCCTTTGGTAAGATTACCATTTTTACTATGTTTATTTTGCCTACCCAAGAGCATGGGAGATCTTTCTTTCCACTTTCTGGTGTCTTCTTCAATTTCTTTTTTCAAAGATTTAAAGCTCTTGTCATACAAGTCATCCACTTGTTTGGTTAGAGTTACTCCAAGATATTTTATGCTATTTGTGGCTATTGTGAGGGGTGTTGATTCTCTGATTTCTTCCCCAGCCTTTTTATCATCCGTGTACAGGAGGGCTACTCATTTTTTTGAGTTAATCTTGTATCCTGCTACATTACTGAAAGTGTTTATGAGTTGTAGAAGTTTCTTGTTAGAATTTTTGGGATTGCTTATGTAAACTATCATATCATCAGCAAACAGTGAGAGTTTGACTTCTTCTTTTCCAATTTGTATCCCCTTGATCTCCCTTTGGTGTCTTATTGCTCTAGCTAGGACCTCAAGAACTATATTGAATAGGTATGGAGAGAGTGGACAACCTAGTCTTGTTCCTGATTTCCACACTGTGTGGTTTGCAGCCATGTGTAACCCTAGTTTTCAAGGTTTTGACCCCCTTTTCTAGTCTCTGTATGCTTGCATGTACTTGGTGAACCTGCAGACCAACAGAGACACAGATAAATAAGAATCGATAACAATAACAAAAACAAAAAATCTTTCCCTTTTAAACAAAACCACAGTTCTTTCATAAACTGTATATTGATTGTTTTCAGCAACAGCATACATTAATATCATTGCATGTTAGTACATAGGTACCTATACACCTATATCCCCACCCTCCTTTCTTTTGAAACAAAGCCTCATGTAGCCCAGGCTAGCTTCAGATTTACTGTGTAGCTGAGGCTGACCATGAACTTCTGATTCTCCGTCCTCTGCCTGCTGAGTGTTGGGATTTACAGCTTTGCACCACCATGTTGTGGGATATTTGATCACACTTTGGGAAGATGTTTCTTTGTTCTTCTGCACCTGTTTAAGACACCTTCTAATTAGTTTAATAAAGAACCAAATGGCCAATAGCTAGGCAGAAGAAGACAGGCGGGACTTCTGGACAGAGGTAGGAACTCTGGGAGGAGTTGAGGCGAGGAGAATTCAGCAGCCAGGCACAGAGGAAGTCAGACGTACAGTACTGAGGAGAGACAACATTTGACAGCATGTAGATCAGTATAACTGGGTTAATTTGAGTTTTAAG